TGTTAAGCTTGTTAAAAATCCTCATGTGTTGCCAATAACTATTTTATGTTAATTATTCAAGTCTATTAAGTTGCATGAACATCTCTTAATTGCATGTCTCGTATAATTTATGTGAAAAAAATGTTATATGTCTAGGAATAGTGAACATGAAACTAGGGGTTAATTAGAAAATAGGTAAATCAATGTGGGAGCTTGTGTGACGAACAACCATACGATAAGTTAATTGAATTGGTAATTAAATTAGCTAACTACAAGTCTTACTTAACCCGAATCAATAAACTAGTAAACTCATTAATTTAACCAATTGGTCACTATTTGAATTGATTTGTTTTCTAAGGATTAGTAATAGTGAACATGAACCTAATCACATCAATTGATAGCCATTGACAAATTAATCCATTGCACTTTCCATAAAATCAACCATAGGGATAAGCAAGTTGAACATGAACAGAAGTCTCCGTAATTATTGAATTTAGTTGATTTTTATTTGTTTTAGTTGTTAATTGTTTTGTTTGAGTGTTAGTGAAGTGCTTAAGTTTATAGTCTTACAAAACTAGAGAAAACCACTTTTATTTTATTATTTGTTTTTTTAGATAATTCTAGTAGTTAGTTTAATTACCGTTCCCTGTGTTCGATACCCTGTTTGCTTAACTATACCACTAATTAACAGGTACACTGCCTTTTGTGTGTCTAAATTATATTTAAAAAGTAGGATTAAAACTAATGCATTTAACAAGCATCACCTACAGTCCATATCTGAGGTTCCAACCTCATAATATGCTCAAATAACTCATTGTCAAAAGATGGATGGGAGAAAACCCTAAAAACTCTCTAACATAAGATCTCACAAAGAAATGATCAAGTTAGCATCTTTTTTACTTCCAACTGAAGCAAATCCCTGAAGAATCTCTAGATCCAAAGTCTCCTCTTGATCCAAGCTTTGATGCTCTCAACTTCTCCTCCAAAAGTGCACTAAAATCACAAGATTAGCTTATCTTTTGCACACACAAGGCTAAGACTCGATTAGGGTTCTTCACAGAGTGGTGGGGTGATAAGGGAGGCGGAAATGAGGGCTTGAGGCCCTTTAAATAGGAAACAAACTCAGAAGATTAGGGTTTCCACTCACAACGCCAACTCGCCAAGTTGGTCTCTCCGACTCGCCGAGTTAGTTGTAAAACCCATATGTCCAAATTGACTCTACTCGACGAGTTGGGGCACCCACTCGTTGAGTTACTCAATTAATTCGCAAACATATATATATATATATATATATATATATATATATATATATATATATATATATTATACATTGGAGTCAGGATGTTACAACACACCAACAAAAGTATAAGATAGACCATGAGGTCATAGATCTGGACTCTAGGGACAAAAAGATCACATAAAGTCCCAACTTTCTCACATGCATGGACATTAGAAGCTCCAAAAGGCCAAAATGATGGTCTGAAGGTTGCATGGGACTTCCATGACCATAAAGTTGGCACATTTATGCCATGAGAACCCCTCAAGGCCTTAGATATGAAGTGTTAACCCATTTGGGACGTCTAACTCCCAAAAACCATGATATTTGGACCAAAATTGATCAAAATAACCCTAAAAGGAGATCTAAACAACTAAAAGACAAGGTTCAGACTTTATACCAACAAAATGTTATGGATGAGGCAAACAATTTCGATTTTGATTTTGACACCTAGTTATTTTTTTTAATTGTGTCATTATATTTATAGTTTTATTGAATATCAACCAAATGACCGGTCATTTGGTTGATATTGCAAACAATTTATGAATATAGTTATATAATTGAGAAAAAAAATCAATTTCAAAATTAAAATTTTATAGCAAAGTAATATAATGACTTCTTTCCCACTAATTAGTATTGAATGTGAGCTAAGTAATTTTTCGGAATCACAAGCTAAACGATGTCGTATATGTTGTTGCTTCCGCTTCATTTTTGGCGAGTAACTAAATCTGAATCGGAGCCGACGAAGAAGAACCCTCCGCTTCAATTCTCACGGTTCCACTAACATGGTAAATTGAGAAATTGCTTACACTCCATGGGTTTCTGTATCGATTTTTCATAAATCTAATCTTATGAATTGTTAATTTGATTTATACAGTCGGCGCTGTTCAATTTCCATTCATTTCTGACGGTGGTTTTGTTGGTAATATGCACATGCACTTTCTTGAAGATGCAGTTTCCTACCATCCTTGAACAAAAAACAGGGTTAGCTTCTCCCTGTCAATCTCTAATCGTCTCTAATTTGATCGCTATTGATCTATATTTTGACAACCCCGGATTTAGGTATCGTTTGACCTAGAAAACATCAATATGAGCTTTGATCACTGTTAAAGATCAAGAACTATTTTCCAAACTTCCCCTTTATTCAAAATTGAAAGAAACGGATCCGTTATTGAAAGGTTCATCATAACAGAAATTTCTATGTACGCAATACTCTTTTACTAGGGTTAATCTTAAAAATCTTCTGACTTTATTATGTAAATCCTGGTTCCTTGCACTTCTATACACACATTCTATCGGTTTTTGGAGGATCTATTAGGATTTACCATGTAAAATTTGGTTATTTTAGGTTCTGATCAAGTGTCAGACTAGATTCATAGGTGATCACTACACAATGTCGAAATAGATTTGGTGGTATGACATTGTTATTCAGTGTTAAGAATTAAGACTGTGAATTGCATGGAGATCTGAAAGAAGTGATCTAATTTTGAGCAAAGTGATTTTCTTCAGCCTGTTTATCTTGGATTAGATGGTGAATTCCTTATTAGTGTTTATGAGTGGTGGGGTTTATTGGTAAGATTGTTTCTATTAAATTTCACTGGCTTATAGTTTCTTTTGAAAGACCTGTTTTGGTGGATGATCTGTCTTCCTATAAATTGAGTCATGATTAGGGATTTTTATGTCTACAAAATCCCAAAATGGATACAAATGACAATACCTTTTATAATGATAAAATTGATTTGTTGTTTTGCTTAAGTTTGATTTCTGATAATGTGTTATTGCAGATTTCGGGGATTCTTCTGGAAGGCTGCTAGAATAGGTAATGTTACAATGTACATCAGCATGTGATGTTACCATGTTTCATTTTCATTATTATTGTTATTTTATTTTTTTATTTTTTTCATAATGAGATATATGATATGGAATCTGAGTTGTGGTTAATATTTGAAACAGGTGAACGGTTGAGCCCATGGGTGGCTGTTGGATGCTTATCAATGGGCGTCTCCATCATATTTTTCTGAGTGATTCCAATGGTTTCTTTGTTTTTAGAATATAGATAAATAGGTTGCTTTTTTATTTTTTATTTTTTTGGTAGAACTTTCTTGTTAAGAAAATTCCTTTGGGTAGAAAATATACATCTCTTCTACTTTGCTTTGTGTGTGTAATCTTGTACCATGTATCTTTCAAAGACATGGTTGTTTTTCTATTGACACTTTTTTTTTTAATGTAAGTATATGGGAAAAACTCGAGGATTTGAATTTGAGACCTTTGGTTTGGGTTATCATTTTACATTTAACTTGGAACCATATTTGTTATCATTCCAATTTACACCTCATAGGTTTGTAAATTGCTACACATGTAGACAAGTGTATTGAGGTTAAATAAGAGCTTGATATCAAACACCACCGGATAGAAGAAACAACCTTATTTAATGTGCATATGAGTAAAAAACGAGACTAATATCATTAAGACAAATCACACCCGAAAAGATAGAACAATGTGGTAAGAAAAACCTTTATATTTTCATTTTTTTACCTAAGAAACCATTACAACTTTTCTATAGGATGAACCACTGATAATTTCTCTATCTTTTTTTCTGTTAAGATATTATCTACCTACTAAAATCAATTAGTAGGTTTACAAATGCCTGCAATAATTTACAACCAACATAAAGGAAATCATATTGCTTATGCACATGCAAACATTTGTAACCTTCTAATCAATAAAAGATGGCTTCAATAAAACAAAATGAACTTATTAGCAGTATATTTTTTTATTTGTATACATTTGGTTCCTGAGTTATTTTTTTTGTTTTTGTCACATTTGACCATTTAACCCTTTTTTTTATCCACATTCAGTCCTTATAAGTTATAACCAGCTAATCCAGGTTAAGCCGGAAAATGAATTAATAAGATAATATATTTTTCAATTTGTACACATTTAGTATTAATGTTTTTGTACACATTGAATACTTATGACCAATTTCTTCAGATTTTGCAGGCACCCTACGTGATACAATCATTAATGAGTTGTTTTCATATGTGGCTTGTCCTTCACTTATATTAGTAACCTAATTTACAAATATGTTGGTGCCCTAGTTTTTTCCAAGCAGAAAATGTCTTTGTCTTCGGTTTCATCTATCCTCACAGCAAACAAGATTTTTTGTGATTATTTCCTCTTTAACTCGAATTTACATTTCCAAGACAAAGAATTAAAGAAGAAGCTAAAAGAATTTTCACTTCCAAAGACAATAACACATTAGCAAAAAGTTTCATCTATCTCCATAGCAAGCACCAAGATTCTTTGTGATTGTTTCCTTCCAACTCGAATTTGCACTTCCAAGATAAAGAACGCGTTGTCTTCTTTAGAGATAGATGAAACCGAAGACGAATATATCTTTTGCTTTGAGAAAACTAGGACACCAATATTATTTGACTAATTTATAAATTAAGTTCCTGATATAAATTTATGACGAACCACATATTAGTACACCTTATTAATGATTATATGTAGGATGTCATGAGCAAAATTTGACGAAACCAATCATAAGAACTAAATATATACAAAAACATCAATGACTAAATGCATACAAACTGAAAAACATATTACCTATTAAGTCATTTTTCCGGCTTAACCTGTTATAAGAACTTAAGGACTGAATGTGGACAAAAAAAATACAAGTTAAATAGTCAAATGTAGAAAAAAAAAACAGTAACCAAATGTGTATAAATCAAAAAGTATATTACCCATTTAAGTCGTTATCCCTTTTTCTGCTAAAAAGAAAAACGGTTTCTGAATGGCTTGTCACTTAAAAGGCTTAAAATGTAAGGAATTAACTGAAAATAGCACTAGAAAAAGCTTTTTTAGATCAGTGAAACAAACAATCTTATGATTCACACAATTAAGCATTAAGCAGCAACAATGTCTGGTTTTTAAAACTACATATAGGTAAATGGTGAAGCTAAGAGCTATCTCTTCTTTTTTCCACCCTTTCCAGATTTAGAAGGCACAGCATTTGATGTAGATGCAGGCTCTTGTTTCTTCAGTCTACCAGGGTGTCTAGGAACCAATTCAGCAACACGAATCATCAGCTGTTTTTCTGCAATATTTTTTCCACAATCAATATAAACCTGAAACTACTTCATTCTTAGATCATAGTCTTCTTATGTGATCATTATCATTTCATGGCATATAAGGGAAAGACAATGAAGGAAATTACAAAATGCTTACTGGATGCAACAAGGGGATTGTGCAGACTCCCATCTGGTCTCTTCAGCAAAAACCTCACCCTCCCTACTTGCATGAAATCCCTTGGATATGCCTTATCAATCTTCAAAACAATTACAACACTTCAGAAAATTTTGAATCTAGGCATCGTTTAAAATCAAAATTGCTTGTGAGAATCAACAAGTGTGGTTCTTTTGTAGGAATGCAGGGAATAAGTGGATACAAAATCAATGAAGTTAACGAGCGAATAAGAAAAACCTCAATAGCGAAAGGAATTTTGAGGTGACCACAGCAATCGCCGATTTCGAGAGCCGTAGGGTTTTCGCATGCTTTTGCTGCGGAGATTCTTCTACCTTCAGCAATCGTCTTCTTTGAATTTATGTAAACAGGGTACAATATATTCCAAGTCTTGAAATTAGGTGTACCTCCCTCCATCATTCCTGTTAAATCATAATTCGAGATCGATCCAGAAAGAAAGAGTGAGAAAGAACAGAAACACCAACAAGCGCTTAAATAAATTGTCTGATTAGAACGAATTTATATATATGAGGTCAAGGTGATGAGCTAAAATTTACCTATTGTCGTTGGAAGATTACAGCGTTGAATGTTGATGGAGGTGGTGATTTTGGTTAATTCGCCGGCGAGAAGATCAAGAATTGACCGGGATCTGCAAAAGGAGGACTCGCAGTAGTCGTGGACTGGTGGTCTCGCGATGGAATAAAAAGTAGTAACTGTCCGAATCCAATATCTAAGTTCTAAAAGCCCAAATTCTTATTGGGCTCTATGATAAGTATATTTTAAATACGAAATTATATACAGACAAAATTACAAAAATGTCGTAGTTGTAAATTAATGGTTCAATACCTTGTACAATTTAGGTCTGCATGGTTGATTTTTTTTTTTTTTCATACACCACCTGAAATTACTAATATATTCTTAAATATTTATTTTTTAATTTTTATTAATTATTTTCTTACTATTTTAATACCAAAAAGAAAAACCTAATCCACCCCACCCTCCCCTCCTAAGTCACACCCACCCACCCACCCTTACTCTCTCTCTCTCTCTCTCTCTCTCTCTCTCTCTCTCTCTCTCTCTCTCTCTCTCTCTCTCTCTCTCTCTCTCTCTCTGCTTAATTCCCCTACCACTGTTGGACCACCATTGATCAGACCACTGCCGCCTGCCAAACACCACCATCGTCATCAGACCACCACCACCCTATCGGATCTAACATGGAAAGTCGAAAAAACGGGATTAGCCATGGTAGAAAACCCATCATCGCCGTGAGCTACACACACCACCTTTCTACCACCACTACCACCTTATCTACCCCCTTCCCAACGAGCCGCCAAAGCTTGTGTATCGCCTAGATTCTCCGCACTTCACAATTCTCAACACACTAGCATCGTCGTCAAGCACTCTAAAGTAGCTGATCTACAATAGCGACCATTAACACCACATATCTGCATCGTCGATCGTCTACGGACTCTACCAGAACCTTCATACATCAGCGATATGCACTCAAACCCCATCAATCTTCAACATCGATCGTTTGATCCATAAATTTGCATTAACGAATGTTGCCTCCATCACCGCCATCGATTTGTACTATCATCGTCTTGTATTCGTTGTTTGTCCCTACCAGACTTCTATCGTCACATCCATACCCATATGAACGTTTATGATTTTTAGTATGATTTTTGGTTTATTTTTCGATTTTATTCTTCGATTAAATGCATTTATGAGTTTGAAGAGTGTTTTTTTTTCTGATGGAAAAGGTGGTGATGCTTTACTCCGGTAGCAGAGGTGGTGATGTTTCGATTGGTTTAAAAGGATAGGTGCTTCCCGATAATAATAGTTTGGGTAGGGAAGAAAGAGAGGACAACAATGCATGTTGTGGGTGGGACTAACTTTTAATTTTTAAATAATTTAAGTATTATAACAAATACAAAAAGTAGGAAAACATAAATTATAAAGGCATAAAAGTCATTTTAAGTGTACATGGACTAAATTCACTAGAAATACCTAAAATTTGACCATTTATACACCACCAAACATTTTTGGACTAAAACTACAAATTTTTATAGGACTGACAAATATATATCATGGAAAACCAACTAACATCTTTGGTTGGTAGTATCATATCAACTAATATATATATATATATATATATATATATATATATATATATATATATATATATATATATATATTGAGAGAGAGAGAGAGAGAGAATGTTTTGTGCTTATGATTTACAATGATTTTTATTAGCATTTACCGAAGTAGTATAGTTTAACGTTTTAAACTTATATTGATGTGCCTAATTTTCCTCCACCGTTTTAACTTATACACTTGTGATGAAATTAATAAAACTATTTTGAATTGAATTTTCAATCTCAACCATTAAAAAATTGTTAGTCATAAAACCCCCCATTGAAGTTTCAAAGTGCTCAAGAAAACAAAATCGTCATTTATAAAATTATCATATTGTTAGTATATATTGTTATATCAACCAAACTTATTGATAGTCAAATAAGATGGTACAAAATATATTTGGTATGGTACCATACCAAATATATTTTGTACCAACTATAATTGATATGGTACATGATTTAGTGAAAAAATAAATTTGTACATATCAATTTCATCCCTAGTTTTTTGACAAAGACTGTTTTGTCTATTTAGTTTATATAAGTATTCTCCAAATTAGTTTTTGTAAGACTATTGTCATCCATGAATAATTCTGTACTCGGTTGGTCCGTAATATTATCAAATTTTGATAAAGTCCTTAACATCTTGTTCCCGAGTTTTATTATTTTATTTTATTTTTTGTAAATTCAATAAAGGAACGAAAATGAAAATTTTAACCGAAAGAGAGGGGAATCGAAATTTTCCTTATTCCCTGTTTCCAAGTTCGAAGGAAATAAAAGAAAATGAAAGGAAAAATTTAAGTTTTTGTATTCCCAAATTAGAAAGGAAAAAAAAATAAAACTAAAAAACTTTACCTCCCCTCATTTTCTTCCGAATCCATCCAATTTGGGAGGAAATTTTGGAAGGTAAATATGACTCAAAAATCATTTCTTTCTCCTCATTTTCCTTCATCAATTACTCAGTAACACGATTTTTCTTCGATATCCCTCGCTTCGACTGCATATCGATCCATTTTTCTCTTTAAAAAGAACTCAGGAACAAAGCGTAAAACCTCACGGGTTTACTACATAAACTCCTAGTCGTGAAATTTTTTATTATATATTTAACTATTATCTTCACATGAATTTAATTTTTTTAATAATATTTATTGTTTAAAAAAAAATTGTAATCATCTGATTTAAGATTCTATAAAAATTATCAATATTTATAATTTATGTTTATTTATAAATAGTGATATTTACGCATCCAATTTCATTTTATACATTTGATCTCTTTTATATTTGCTTTTTCTTACAATAGATTATTATTTATCTGTTATAAAAATCATTTGCTTCCAAAAGTAAATATTTAATTCTTTAAAACGTTTTAGTATAACAAAAAAACTTATAAGTCATATTTATTTAATAAAAAGTTTTTTTTATTGGTTTGTTAATGAGAATTAAAGTTTGAATTTCACTGAACTATGTAGGTGAAAAAGAAGGAAACTAGATTTTTAATAGATTGTTGGGTTGAGTTTTGTTCTTAAATATTTCATTTGGGTAAAATTTTAAAGGTTTCTTGGTGCATACAAGGTGTTTCTTTTTTGCTCGCCAAATATTTAATAAAATGCCTAAATGAGGTTTTCAAGTGTTGCAACCAATTTTAAACTCAAAAAGATGTAGAGTTTCCACCTCATGTTGGTTTCATTGTGCACACTACAACCTTTTGTTGGAGTGCCACTTTTTCCTTTGGGTTACTGCTTCTAATTATGGGTCTCACCTTGAGGCTTAAATAAACTTTATTTGTGTGTTCATGGCGTTCTCTCATTCTTTTGAGCGTGAAACTTGGTTGTGTCCTTTTCGGGGATTTCATTGTTGTCCAAATGGTATTGTTGCAGGTAAAGGGATTTACCGTATGATATCTCATCTTAAGAGCTTACAACTCCATACAGATGAACACAAAGCTGTGTTACGAGAGACTATTACTTCTGACCACATATTGTTTATGTCTGTGGCAGCAACAACATTGAAGGCATTTGGTCAATGGATATGCGGGGATTACATGAGTCTTCATGCCTTGAGTCGTTCGTGTCATCACCCGTGTGGCTTGGTTAAGTTTATTGACGGGGCTAAAGACATGAGCGGACATATTATTGGCATTCTAAAGTTGTCACCCAATGGACTGGAAGCCGACCTCACTGATGAGTTGGTGTTGGACGCTCGACTACTTGATCGTGATTTTAAACTACCTATCACCACGATCAAAACATCCACATAATTGTCGTATGGCTTTCTCTCAGGCTTTGAAAGCAGCCCTTTCCAATATGGTTCCTCATACCGGGTCCATTGAAGTGTGGGTTGTTTGGTTAATTCTTCATAGGTGTACTCTTCAGGTGTTCAGTCCCAAGAATATACAAGAAAGTAGGTATGAAAACAGGAAGTCTTTACGACATTGTAATATCCTGAGTGCATTAGCTAGTTGGGGGATTGAAGATGGTATCGCCAAGCTAGTTAAAAACTTAGTTACTAATGCAATATTGGAGCAACAAAACAAAAAACAAGAGTACATTCCGGAGAAAAGAACATTAAACAACACAAATGTCAGACAATATCTTCGTAAGGTTGTCGATGGATATTTTACAACAGTAGTGAAAGTTTTATGTTCCTCGGGGTTTCTCTATTTGGGGGTGATACCACGAAGGCACTAGAGGATAAGGATCCATAGAAGCCACTAACTTCCATACCGAGCACCATATTTTCAGAACTTCCCCTTATAGTGGATGCTGACAATGTCCTTGTGGGCATTAAATCCTTCCTTAAAGGTACATTCATCATTCATGTGGGAGAGATGGGTTGAGAGCTCAACATATTTTGGATGCTCTTTGTGGAGAAGGTTTAGCTATAGCCAAAGATCTCCAACGTGTTATTACATTCATGGTTAATTTATGGCTAGGGGAAGATGCCCTTCGAGTTTAGCAGAATTTGTTGCCTCTGCTCCTCTCACGCCGCTCTTAAAACCTGACAAGGGAATACGACCTATTGCAGTAGCACTATATAGACACATTTGGTTTCCAAGTTGACTATGAAAGGTGTTGGTAAAGAAATGGCCAAGTATCTCAATGATTGTCAATTCGGGGTCGGGGTGTCAGGTGGCGCTAAGGCCATATTATATAGCGTCAATCGGGTGTTGAGTGAGCGTCACGATGACATGTCTCTTTCCATGCTTACCTTGGACTTCTCCAATGCCTTTAACTTTGTCGACATATCTACATTACATCATGAGGTCAGATTGAGGTGTCCTTCTATATCCTTGTGGTTAGAATTCCTATATGGTCAAGCAACAACGTTGCATCTAGGAGACACATATTTGGTGTACTATTGGGGTTTAGCAAGGAGACCCAATGGGACCACTTCTCTTTGCCCTTGTCTTTCACCCACTCTTTCATAATATTAGAGATAATTGTAAGCTTCTTCTTTATCCATGGTACCTTGATGATGTCACACTTATTGGAGATTCGGAGGAGGTAGCCAAAGCGTTGGCCATCATTAAGGTGAATGGCCCAAAATGTAACGCCTGTGTTTCTGGGCTTGCCATTTTTAGCAATGTAATAGTCTAGGTTAACCTTTGTAACCCGTTTTGAAATAATAGAAGTGTATTAGGGATGAGCAAAAGGACCGAACCGGCCGGAACCGGCCCGAACCGGACCGGAACCGGGAACCGGCTTCGGCCAAAATCAAGAACCGAACCGGCCCGGCGGTTCTACCGGTTCCGGTTCTACCGGTTCCCGGTTCCTACCGGTTCTTGTCGTGTCTTCAAATATTGGAACCAATCCTTGAAAAATAGCATCATACGGTTCCGGTTCTTGCCGGTTCTACCGGTTTTTGCCGATTCTACCGGTTCCGGTTATATTGGTTCCGGTTCCTACCGGTTCCAAAAATCCACAAAAATAACGTCCCGGTCCCGGCCCGACCGATTCCATCGGGTTCCGGTTCCGGTACCGGTTCCGGCCGGTTCCTCGGTCCATATGCTCATCCCTAAAGTGTATTATTTGAGTATTATGTGTTTTGTACTTAATTGCTTAATTATATGGTTTGATTAATTAAGAATAAAAATAAGCGTCAAAATTTAAGTGTATAATAAACTTGATATCTTTAGATAATGTTGTAGTAGTTGAAACAAGGTTTCCGAAGATATAAAGAATGCCGAAATCCGAGTTATAACGAAGAAGTTATGACCTGTCGATGTTTTGCGACAAAACCGGCACAGTTGAATGACGTAAAAAGTGAAATTTGCGTTAGAGCGATATTTAGCCTTAGTGATCTAAACGAGGATCGAAGATCTCGTTGTTAGTATCAAAGCGATAAAAAGTTAGGCGAAAACGGACGTCAAACGAAGAAGTTATGAATTTATAACGAAATTTTCTATCCCGGCCTATTAAAAATAAATAATAAAAAAATAAAGTCAAAATTAGCCGACGGAGTCTAAACGAAAGTTGTAGAACGTAGTCTCACCTTCGCGTGGATATAAAGAACGTCAAAAACGGAGTTTGTATGAAGGAGATATGAATTTTCGAAGTTTATTAAATAATTAATAATTAAATTTAATTATTAAATCCGGCCTTATCCGAAGACGAGTCACCGGACTCATCCGGAGTATGCCCCGCGTACAGCAAGAAATATCGACACTTCGGATGAGGCATGCAGTGACGACTTCGGAGCCATGTACGCCCCGCGTACGAGGAGGTTCCAGCCTCCTATAAATAGGATGCGAGGGGTCCGGGCATAATTGCTCATTTCTCCTCCGTTTCGTGCCGAAGCTCTACGTTTTTACCCCCGAAGCCCCGGTATCATTTCCGAGTCCCGAAGCAAGTCCCGAGATCCCGAGAAGTGCGGTTTCCGAGCCGAAGCTCTTCCCGCGAGAAGTTCGATTTTTGTAGAGATCTTTCAGATCTGCTGAGGATTACTACTTCTACAAGCCGTAGTGCTGTCTGATCATCTTCTGATCAAGTGAGTGTGTAGTTACTTTCTTCTAACGCATAATTATGAAGTATTTTATACGAAATACGTGTTATGTGTATAGTTTTGTTGTTATGTGTGTGGATGTATATTCACTCTCTTTAATCTCATAGATCTGATTTGTTTTCTATGAAATATGTGTTATATGGGTATGCCTCATCTGTTATGTGAAATATGTATTGAATGACAATGCTATACAGGTTTTAAACTATGTATAAAAAATATATATTTTTATCTACTAATATGTTGGATAGAACATGGGTAGATAGTTGGTGTGTAATAAACAGATGAGAGGCCTCGATGTTGTTGTTGTTGTTGACCTAGTTATTCAACGGAGTATGGATAACGACCACAGACTCCTTCTAGACAGTCTCGTGGAACGCTAACAGGTTCATAACCTGTAGGTGTTGTGAACGATGTGTTCACCGGTGTACTCTATCCCCCTCATGGTTGCCTTTAGGATATCTATTGTTGAGGAAACCCCTTAGCAGTAATGTCTGTCCCGATGAAAATCCTAGATTAGGTCCCTTGAGATAGATGTTGTTTTAGGGACGTAAAGTGAGGATAACGGGAATGGGTAATTGGGATAGTGATTGGTTGGTGAAATTAAATATAATTTATTTATTGTGGGTTGAAAACCCTATATGCTCAGCAGGCTCCCAAGCCTGACCCACTCAGTTTTATTTGTATTACAGGAAGTGGCGCAAGGGCGTAAGATGGATGAACCATCAAGTTGTTTTGTTTACAAGTCTGTATATGTATATATTTGTTGAATGACTTGTAATGTTATTGTTTATGCTTAATGGTCTGTATTGGAACATGACACCCCGCGTTTTGATTATATAATGAAAATATATTTCTTTTATGAAATGCTTTGGTAAACATTGTTTTATCATGTTTTGTTTTTGGGAACAAATTCCACAACTCTTTCAAATCAAAAGGATTTACTCTGAAATTATTTTAAAAACATAAATGAAAATCGGTCTTTTCTGGCCGTGATTTTGGGGATGTCACAGTTGGTATCAGAGCATTAGTTTAAGCGAACTAGGAATTTGTAGGATTTCTAAACTTAAACTTAGAATGCTAAGTGGAATTTGAGATGTGTGTCTGTTGGATTTTAGACACAAGCACTAGTTTATTTTAGGAACATTGCCTAAAAATTTTTATGTGCTAAATGTTATATATATTGCCATATATGATATTATTTGTTCGGATCTACGGTTTGTTGCCAACCGGATCTGAAGGTTTATGTGTTTAGGATTCTAAGCGTACGTATACGATATTAGAATTAGCATGTAATCGTTTCGGAGTGATAAGGATGATTTGAAATCTATCATGAACGAAGATCTAAATTTCACCTTATTCGATGTGTAGATAAAAAATGGTGAGAACAAGGAGTGGCATTGGAAACGCGGATGAAAACAGGAATGAACCGCTAGTGATTGAGCAAATACCTGTTGTAGCAGCAACACCAGAACAGATCACCATGGCTGGAGTACAAGCCATGATTCGGTAATGTTAGCCGAACAATGGGAGGAGATGCGACAAATGTTGCATAATAATAGGGACGAACCTATCATACCTATTGAGGAACCTGAATTGATTCCCGAGCAATCGAAGGAAGGGAACAATAGTCGCATTATGAGTCAAGTTGGGACTCAAGAAGAACGAAGGAACAATCCGGAAAGGAGAAACAATAACGATGGGCGAATGTACAAGAATTTCTTGGGCGCCAAACCGCCAAGTCTTTCTGGGAGCCCAAAGCCTGTTGAAATAATGGGTTGGATCTCCGAAATGGAGATGGTATTTGAAAGTTGCGACTGTAGCAACAAACAGAAGACTGTCTTTGCAGTCAGACAACAGAAGACTGGAGTATTAAGTTGGTGGAAGTTGTTGGCAGATACTATGCCACAAGGGAAAGCCTTGAAAATGTCATGGGATGTTTTGTTTGACAGGCACGATATGGTTAGGGATGTTTTGTTTGACATATTTAAGTGTGTGATGGTTTCCACCAAGAAAGAGGCACTTATGATTTCTTGACTGACCCGACAGAAGAAATGTCAACCCTTAGATCGGCTGACGTTTTGATTTTTAGATGGGTTGGAGGGAAACACACATGTGTGGACCTCATAGGGGTATCCCCTCTTGTGGTTTCACAATGGAATTGACTGCTTCAAAAACTATTACAAACAAAGTCACCAAACATGAGAAAATCGTGCATTGAAAATCAAACGTATTTATACCATTTGCATTTGATACGTTTGGTTTATTCACTTAGTGACACAACTTATTGCTCATCATCTCATTCATTGTATGATGAAAACTAATATAAAGTTATTTAATCCAAAAAAAAATGGTCTCTATAGCAATTAAAAAGAATTATTTATTTTTTTCTTTCATCTTTTTTTTTTTTTTTTTTAATTTTTAAGGTAAAAAATCATTTATTTCAATTACTTTCAAAAAGAAAAAAAAAAAAAAAAAAACAATGAAAACAGATAATTTGTTGAATTTCAATTTGTAAATTTCACTAATAAGATTCGTAGTTTTTCAAATCTTTATTATCTTTCAGTTTCTCTGTTTGAACACCAATTTCAACATCCTTTCTTTAGAATGATTTGGTTTTTTTTCTTCTCCATGAACCATAAGAAAGAGACGAATAATTAAAAGAGCTTAAAAAAACCACATATATCTTTTTAGAACTTTCTGTTGTTAAATACTTTCAACTGCAAAGTTTGTAACATCGTAATACCACACCAAAACTTGATATTCCATCAAAACATTCCAATACTTCAATTTGTCATTTAACCCAATACATCAACATTCATTGGAAAAAATCACAGCCAAAAATGATAAATTCTTATAGAATTACAAAAGTTATAATACCTCATTCTAATACGATCTTTTACTTGGATAATTCCAATGGTAGAAACGTACTAAAAATTCTTCTAAACCCTTTCTACTTCACCATTGATAGCCCCCGCAGATGTAGCTACGTTTCCATTTCCAAGGACTAATTCCCCTTTGCCTTGTCTTTTTGCTTTCATTTCTTGTGTTGACTTGTAATATGTTGCATATAAGACTAGTTGGGCAAGCCCAAAAAGTGCCCCAAGCCCATTAGGAACCTAAACCAAAAAAAAAAAAATGTCATGATTTAAAATATATAAAGAATCCATATTAAATAAAAAGTAAATAGAGAAAGAGAGAGAGAGAGAGAGAGAGAGAGAGAGAGAGAGAGAGAGAGAGAGAGAGAGAGAGAGAGAGAGAGAGAGAGAGAGAGAGAGAGAGAGAGCAATTACAGCAACAAACGGATCGAAACGAATGAGGGCATATGAGAACCAACAAACGCCATTTGCAAAACAAAATAGAGATAATAGAAACGGCATGTACTCGACACTTTTTGTTGTGATCACCATTTTCTGCATAGATCATAAATTATTCACATAAGTCGAATGAAAAATGAATGTAACAAAAAGATCTTCAAAGCATATGAACAAAAAACAATATTGAAGATGAAGAGACTTCTTTTCCATGCAGGATAAACTAACATGGTCATCCACCAATAATCGAGTTTGTTTTATTTGCTATTTAAGGAATAAGATCATCATCCTTTTAGTACAAATTGAATTTGAAATTGGTCCAATTACTTTTGGAGAAATATTCGACCATATGATAACATGTTATAATTGAGTAACACATACTCAACAATGACAACACATACAATTAACGCCTTCCAATTTTTCTGAAACATATTCGACCATGATGATACGTAAGACTAATCCCACATAACTCAGTTCAAAATTCCTCTTATATGACATTAGATAATTTCTAATTAATCGAAGCATGTCATCGACTTTTTAGGGTGCATGTAAGAGAAACGTACCATTACAGATAATGGAGAAGCATACATCATGATGTTACCCGCAATGCAAATGCCACCAACGATGGATGATCGAAGCTTTGTGGTGTGCGCCAGTGTCAGTACCAGTACAACCAAAACCCCGAGAAATATAATCTCAAAAAGCAACACCAACAAAACCTTAATTCTATTTTTATGATCTGAATAGATTATAAAAAGTAACAAGTAAACCGATTCGATTAGTATTCCTGCCCCATTTGTGGTTGTGACTAATAAGCTATGAGGGTGCACAAATGGCAAGCCATAGAAAATCCATAGCCCACAATTTACAAAGGTTACAAGATATGGCACCGGAGAAAATCTTTGAACTGACTTGTTTTTCCATATCCTATAAAATGTTGGCCTGAAAAAATAATCATAAAATCCAAAATTCAGAAAATAAAAAATCAATATTTCAACTTATATATAACAGTAATTATGTATGCAAACATACATATATATGTATGTATAAAACTAAGAAAATAACAAAGCTTACACTGTCGACAAGAACAAAATGATTGAAATGACGTTTCCTGAAAAGAAAAATAAACGTACATCATTACTAACATTCCATATTAACTTTTCTTAAAATTATACATATAACATATATAGTACAATCTGAAAAACCATATATCATAATCCATATAAGCAAATGATAATAAAAATATATGTACTTCCCAGAATGCATGTTTCGGAGCTTAGAATTATACAATATATTATCAAGACATGCACTATATATTGAATAATCACTAACCATATTTTGCATATAATTAAATACTAATCTTTTAAATGTGTTGTTCATACATAATATGAAGATAGAAGAGCTTACCGATGACACCTAGTGTATTGCGAGCAAAATCGGCAGAAACCATGACTATGGTGTGAGAGAGAAAACGAAGAGAAAGAGAGAAAGAGAGAGACGTTGGTGTAAATTTAATAGGGCAAGCAAAAACGTATTTATAATGAAAGCTTAATATTATTATTAGAAAATTAATTAATTGGATATATGGTTCATCTGTATTTTCAAACTTTTTTGCAGTTACTATTCATTTTCCTTTTTCTCTATTTTCGAAATGCATTAAATGTCAATTAATAATGTTAAACAAATAGAAAAACTTTAATAAACCGAAAGATAATATGATTCAGCTGATAAAAATTTAGACCAAATTCTACCTAAAATTTTACCGAAACTTAGCCTAATGAAACCAAACACACTAAAACTCGTTAAACTTAAACTGATGTCTATACATCACAACGTACATTGTCAAATCTCCTGTATTATCGAATGACAAAATAGATTTAATGATATATCACAACATGTGCAAATGAAATATTCTTCAACAGTTAGATCGAAACAAAAAAAGTATATAATCATGTTACCATAATTACTAGTAATGAATTCTCTAGTGAGAAAGGGAAAAAGTAAGTTACATGTCATATTCACAAATCAAAACAGATTGTGACGTTCTATTAATTAAAAGTTTGTATTTTTTGATGTAAATAAGTCGAATTTACAAATGAGTGAAACCGTGTAAGAGGTAAAAACTTGTCCTGTGAAGTTTGTAATAATTTAAAACATGTTAAAACCGTTTTCTATATATTAAAACTCATGGTCTAATAATAGAATGATGGATGGATGCCAAATTTCACCAAAATCCATAATGCCTAGACCATATGCCTAATTTTTGTTGTAAGTTCTTTAATTTGAATATATTTAAAGAATATAAAATCTATAAAATGGAAAATGGATAATTTCGTTACAAAATGAGGTTAAAAGAAGTATTTGAAGCTTTCCTTTATCATGGGAAGGCGGTGGTGTTGTTGTTGTTTTTTTTTTTTTTTTTTTTTTAATTTTTTTTTATTTTATTTGGTGATATAGAAATAATCAAATTTTGAGCAATTAAATCAAATCACCTTGAAATGGAAAACTCTTTTCAATTTTGTTGGAATTGATAAATCATAAATACATTTTTAGTTCTTTTCTTTTTTAATATTAAAACAGATACAAAGGCAGAATACATTCGAAAAAAAAAAACTAGTGTAGTTTTATAAAAACATAGATTGTATACTTATAATTTTATAATATAAACTTAGATAATAATATTGTGTTATAAATCATCAATGGCAATTGAAAATTAAGATGATGTATTATCTCTCCCCAATTTGTTTATTTAAAATTATCATTATATTAATAATTTGATTTTTAGATAAAAATGATTGCATTTGAAATTACAAAAACATAAATATTTAAATATAGACACACAAGCTCACGTTTTTTTTTTTACGGTTACTCGGTTAGTTTATGTTTTCGCTTCAAATATTTATTTCAAGTCAAAGCAATCAATTATAGTCAAACGGTAGAGAATTAATTGCATTCTTAAAAAGCCCAAATTAATATATGCTTGTAAGTTCTAAGTTGTAACATCAATAATCTGAGTCATATCCTTATCAAGAATTGATAAGATCGAATTATATTTAAAAATAAACTATATTAAATATAAGAAAGAAAAACAGTATTAAAAATTTAGAATAATAAAAAAAAATCAAAGATTTATAAAATGAAAATTTGCCTAGATAAATTTATAATGATGAGTTAAAATTACAAAGATATATGCCTAGATAAATTTATAAGGATGAGTTAAAATTAATATATACATTATTTTAAATATGTGATATACGTTTTGTATGTGTTGATTTTTAATAAAATTATGATTTTATACAATGCAATGAAAATTTGAATAAATGTAAAAAATATAATAAATCATGGAAATATCATTGTCATACGTAAAATTAAATATACATTATGTATGTGTTGACTTTTAAATACATGTTTAATTTAATAATTATTTGAATATTATCATGTAACAATCGAAATATTAATTAATAAATTATAATGTTGTAGTATTATTTGTGTTTTAAAAAAATGTAATCTGAATGTTTCATTATTTTTCTTAACACGGATAATATGAGTCATTCTACAAAATCTAGTATTTATATAATACCACATATAATCTTCCCTTTTCAACTTTTTTTTTATAGTGAAATTAATCGGTGGACATCCATCAAGTTTTTCTTTTTGTCCTTTTCTATCCATAAGCTACACACTTGGATTTAATTAATGTTAAACTACTATTTCATACTTTTTACCAATCAATGTCGTTATTGGCAACAAGATCGAGTGCAAGCATGTTCTTGATGGTATCAAAAGGACCTCCAGTTATCATCTTGACATAATAGTTTCCATTAGAGCACCATCATTTGTAGCATAATGGTTCAATCAACAATATCATAAATTGAAGTATTAACTCACAAGAACATTTAAATGCTGATGTTTAAAGGGGCTTTCTTTTTCGTAACCTTTTTACCAAGATCAAAACTGAAATATAATTGAAAGACTAAACTACCATGGCAATCTAGGTTAAAAAGAAACACCAAAGGAGACAAATATAACATTTTGTGATACCATACACATCAAAGTTTTTCATTTGGGAAAACATCGAATAGTTGGCATGCATTATGAGATATAACTTTAACTTACAAACAAAGAGGGATGACGCTATCTTGACAATAGTCAACCCTGCATATTAAAACTCATGATTCATCAAATAAAACCCTAAGCATAATTGAATGGAAACATTTCAATAAACCTGGATCGGGTGGAACCAATCAAGGCTTAGCATATCTATTGACCAAATCAGATTTACAAGAAACATATAACAAAACTCAAAACAAATGTAGTGTAACACCGTAAATTTCAAAACAAATTTTTCAATTTTTATAAAACATAATTCCATCAATATTCATCAAACAACCATTTTAATTATCCAAATAAGTCAATACAAAATCCCAAGATCATAATGTCAAAACTCCGAGCGTGTGTGTGTGTACGGATCAAGCCGGCGCCTTCCCGCGGTCGTCACTAGTACCTGAAACAATAACAACAAACACTGTAAGCACAAGGCTTAGTGAGTTCCCCAAAATACCACCCATAACACATATTAGCCACTCGAGGCTATAACTCTGTGGGTCCGTGCACCCAAACTCTGTGAACCCTCAGGTTCTAGCTCTGATAAACATGCACTACATAAATCACATAGAAACAATGCAGTACAACACATAACATGCATAGCATACAATACTCTATTACATAACTCAGGTTACCTACTCAAGGTAATATAGTATAGTGAGAAGACTCACCTCGCGTGTCTCGGTAAGTCGTAAATCTGAAATCACTAGCGCTCGATCTGCCGAGCTATAGTCCTCCTATAGCACAATACATCTCTAATTAACACTTTCCCAACTAAGGTTGACTACACTATAACAAGTCAACTTAGGTCAACGCCGGTCAACAGTCAACGGTCAACTTTGACCGGACTCGGCGAGTGCACTATAGCGACTCGGCGAGTCTGAGCGTATACACTGATTTCCCTGGAATCCTCCCTTGACACGTCGAGTATTCTCCTAACTCGACGAGTTCCACCTGGCATGAGTTGTGGGGCCACCACGACTCAACTCGCCGAGTCTCAAGAACAACTCGGCGAGTCCAGCTTGACTCAGTCCACCTGTCCACTCTGACCCCCCTGACTCACTGAGTCAACCCTCCCCAACTCGGCAAGACCACTCGCTGTGTGGTCGGGCAACATTCATACTACTCGCCGAGTCTGTTCTTCGGACTCGGCGAGTCCGTGCCATGCAATGACTCAAACTTGCTCATAAGGTCAGATCCAGTCCATTAACCCATAGATCCAGTCCTTCCAAGCTCATTTAGCACGTAAAGTCACTATCTTGATGCACATACAATCTCTATATGACCATATATGATGCTTTTGACCCATATACTACAACTCAAGGTCATAAACTCCATTGCTATACATAAAGCTTGATGAGTGAGGCTCTCTGGACCCCTATGGATCCAGATCCAGAGCCTCAACACAAGAAGGGAACTATTTGGCATCAAATCAACCCAATAATGTCCATAAAAACCCTAAATCCGATTATACTTCACAAAACAGAAGATAAGCCGAAATTATACCTCTAGATTGATGATATAAGCTTCAAATCCACAGTATAGCAACCTCCTTTGCTTCCTCTTGCCTAGAATCTCCTCCTTCTTTGCTAAATGACACACACAAGGTCAAGAAATGCTTCCTTTCTCTCTCAAAACGTTCAAGCACTCAAGGGTTTCTCTCTAAGGGTTGGGTGAGCACAAATGACGGCCATAAGGCCCTTTAAATAGGTCTCAAACCCGAGAATTTAGGGTTTCATTACTCAGTGCAGACTCGCCGAGTCCAGGCACGATTCTTCGTCCAAATCCGCGTCTCTACTCGGCGAGTCTGAGCTCCAACTCGCCGAGTCCCCCTCACAAATCAACAAAAATACCATTTACATGATACCTGATAAAAGTCCGGATGTTACATGTAGATTAGTTGGTGAAAAGTAAAATAAACATGTCATAATGGAACATAAGTCAGGAAAAATCAAAGATGAATATCTTTCTTAAAAAAACAAAACAAAACGCAGGATTGAATCATTTTAACTTTCACGTAATTTCTCTTAATCTCAAGTTTAATATAGTTGTGGAACATTTTCAAGAGAATAAGCATCAGAGAG